GCATTTTACTACCAGGCTACTACTATTATAAATATAGGCCTAGGCCTACATAGCCTAGGTACGGTAGGGACACTGAACAAGTTTTGAAGTTGTTTAAATCACGATCAAATTCCAAATTTCGCTGAACGTGTTCAACATTTTGCCATTCACGAGCAGTCAGCCATATGAAAAGGGGAGGAGTTAACTTCCAAACGGAATAAACGGCTCGAACGACAAGCTTCCAAACGGCATTTCACAGACGCGTTTGGGAGCTTGTCATATAACAATAGTAAACGTGTTTGACCCGTTTCTGTCGTTGGGGATAATTTGTAGATCGCGCCTTAGCAATCCTTTCTTTCCTTATTAAAATGATTTTCAATTTAACATATACACAATAATATCAAGAATTTTTAATATCTTTTTTATGATTAAATAATTTAAGGCTTTACCGTCTTGGTTTTATAATTAGGTTTAGAGGAAACAAAACAATATCAGAAGCAGGGTGGTGGGACCAACAAAGGGGGAGAAATCTTGAACTTAGCACCAAGCTCTGGAGAAAAACAACTGTTAATATGTTTTACAACTGATTTTTCCTAAAAAAAGGATCCAAAAAGGATGTTTGACGAAAATCCTGGGAACGGTTTGAGATACAGGTTTTTGAATATTTAAAAACCGGGGGAAATGTAGAAAAAATGGTGGTACACAACTGTAACATCATCTTTATAGTATCCTAATACAGATACAGCATTTTTATTGCCCTAGTAATTAAACCAATGACGTTAGTTTCCTTTAATTTACCAATATTAAACCATATGTTGCATCTAAAAATAAGTAATGACCATTCAATTAAATAACTATAGAGATTATCAATCATGATAAAATTTTGGGAAAAAAACAAAAACTTAAAAACATATTATTTGTACATTGAATTGCTCATACTGTATAATAAGATCAAATATTCAAAGGTAAAGAAATTGTAAACTTTAGAGAGAAAACACCTCATTAACTACTATTCGCCTTCGAGACCACCTGAAAATTTGGGATTGTCTCGGGGTTCGGTCTCTTATTAGAGGGTTACTCTGTAGTAATGTGTTAAAAGATTGATTGCTCTTTGAAAACGTTGTCTTGAATTAGAGAAGTTTTGAATTGGAGGATGCACGGGAACTTCCTTGGTGTACTGGTCCATTCAGCCTCTGTTGTGGACAGGAACACAGTAGCTGGTACCTTTTTACTGGGTAGCTCAGACATTAAGAGAATCTTAAGAGGAGAAAAAAGTTTCTGTAAGATTTACTCTACACATCAAAACGCTTTGAGACCGTTTCAGTATAAAGCATTATCTAACTAAATTACATTAATACATTCATATATTTTATATCTGCTCCTGTCCTGCCATAAATATTCCAAAGTTTAAAAGCATCCGTTTCTATTTACCAAAGCACTGAATCAATATTATAGGCCAACTTATCAATCAAGTTGCTAATTCTGAAAGATATCAATCATACAGATTGCCATGGTGACAAGTCATGTTGAAGGTGCCACCAGTCTGCGAGTTTCACAGTACTAACATAGCACTTGGTTCGTTAAGTGTACGCAATTGCTACGAATGCAATTACTTAAATACCTCACTTATTAATTTACTCATATGCAAGGGGAAACTGTTGAATTTGATCAGTAGGTTATGTTTGTTGTGACTGATGTGTATGATTTTTACAACCCTTTAGTCATTATGAATTCTGCAAATCATCTTAGTTTGTGTCTGTAAATGGTAATAAAACTTAAGTGGTTAATAGTGGTTACGAAAATGTTCAAAGAAACATCCAGAAGCTAGGTTAGACTCTGGGCAAGCCAAAGCATTTATATTGGACCGGTCTCAAATTCATAGCTCAGTAAATTCTTCTATGAAAAAAATTAATTGATGAAAAGAGTAGAATACCAATGAAATATATTTATGTTGTGAATTGTTTGCAAGAATATCTAGAATCCATATCATATAATAATAGTAATGAACCCTGACCCTTTTCCTATATGCTAATGATTTTCAAGAAACTGTATTTTTCTAAATACTAGTTTTCATTTAAATATTGTATTTTTCTAGTTTGTAAATTTTGTTGATATTTTTACATTCATTTTTTAATCAATTTAAAGTTTAAACTGCTGATTTGATTTCTGTGCAAGATTATGAAAACACATCTAGTTATTCAACTTTTCAATTTGATCAATTCAAAAGTAATTACAAATTCATTTAATTAATATATTATAATTCATTTAACAATTCATACTCTGGATATTATATTAATTGGATAACAGTTTAACTAATTTCTTAGTCCAATTGACCAATCGGACACTTGACCACTCACATTTATCAGTCGCTAATTTAGGCATAGTCACTTTATCCCTCCCTAGACAATTCAGATATACTACAGACGGACCACTTGGTTGCTCAACCACACACATTTTCATTGATTAATTAGGCCTAGTGAGGATGATAACCTCCCCAGATAATTCTGATTGACCCAACTAGATTCCATTATTTATCAAGTGTAGTAGAACAAATCTCTGAATATCCAATTGACCAACTGAAGATTAAATATTGATTTATAGAGGCATTTATTCAGGTTTGACCCCTGATATTTCAGGTACCTACAGTATAGAATATTACTGTACATGGGTTTTAGACTCCACATTGTTTTTAGAAATTTGTTTTAACCTATAGTATTTCAGTTAAGCAATAAATATTATAAACTTTTTATTGGCAATGTTCCAGTTGACCGCTTCTCTTTCTAACATTCAACCGTCATTAACCCATCCAATACTGTATTTAAATTGATTAACTGAATCAGTGAACAACCCAAAAATTCAAGGTATATCATTTCATCTTTCCCAATATGCAAGGTGAAGGGGGGAGGAAAGGGAATTGGTGCAGAAGACCCCACAGGGAATGAAGCCAATTGTTTGGTAGGTAACATTGCTTTGAAAAAGCATTTTCATACTCTCTTTCTTACCATTTTCAGAAATTTTAGGTGCCTATTCTTAAATTTTCTCACATCAGACCCAAGCATGGTGGGTCATAATTGGGTGTACACCCCCGTTAGGAAAATTTGGACGCCTTATTGGAAGATATCTGACACGTCACTGGAGGCGCCCCCCTCCCCCCACCTCAACATTCTAGATGCCTACATCATCTACTTGTATAAAGATGACTAAATGTCCTCTAATATTCAGGTTGACTGATTGCACATACCATTACGAAGGATGATGTCCATACCCTTGTACTCAACATTTAAGATTACCATACCATCTACTCTTACCCATACTACTTGCTTTTCAAGTTCAATGCTCTCCTCTTACATTCAAGATCAATACAGGGTCCCATGCCCCACAATGTTCAGTTTTCGGGTCCCTAACTTTGGAACAGTCTACCAACCAATTTAATTAAATCCCCATTAACAAATTTGTTCTCGATAAATCTAAAAAAGTATCTAATATCTATATACAGCCATGAATTCTGAAACTAAATATAAGTTCATTTTTTATCCCTGGTTAAATATATTTATAATCACTGATATTTTATAACGGTATTCATTTTATTCAAGTTTTAATATTTTTTTTACTGAATATCTCTACAATTGATTGACTTTCTTTTTTTTTATTCAGGCAGCCCTTCACAAGCTTTTGCTTTTTGGGTTTTTGTCTCTCTTCTGAAATTAATATTTATCTTTTTATTTAAAAGCTGTACATAATATAAAAAAAAAGAAGAGAAATAAATGTTACGTTGAATTGAATTAAAATTGAAATAAAGAAAGCTCATTAAAGAGATCTCGTTGAAATGACCTCTTCAAACTTCGGACCCCTATCAGTACCACCCTGCTTCCAACCTTCAGGATGGCTATAAACCTCTCCAATTTTCATGTTACCTAATATGCCTCCAAATCCAAAGAATGGATTTCTTTTATTTCAAATTTGTTTGCATATTCTTCATCAGCACATGTTATTCAAACGAAATGTTACAGTTCATAAAAATAACTGAATCAATAATGCTAAATATTATATGATGCAATGAAGGTAGTCAGCTGTAACCCACATGATTCAAATTTAATTATTTTCCAGAACATTAAAATGTATAATGTCATAAATAGAATAAATAATTAATGTCTCTGCTAAAATTTTGAAATACTGAATATTAAGTGGAACTGTAGCTTGGCGGTTTGCCATTCATATTGTGATTGGCACTGGCAAAATCCTATATTTTTTGCAATTTCTAATTTTGTGCTAGCACCCAAGATGTCAGATTTTTGCAGTTTACGTATGAAAGAAGATATATTGAAGAACATTTCTGTTAAATATTAATTACTAAATCTGAAAAGCAATTAATTCAAGAACTCAAAACTAATAATAAGTTTTAATTTTTACAGTACTTTTGATCTCTCCCTTCTCCCATTGTAGATGACTCTAATGTAACAAATCAAGTTCAGGCTTTACTCTTAGTGACAGTTCATAGTGATCAAGGCCTAAGAATTATTTAAAGGCAGGGTTATTTTGCTTGCACCGAACAAGAGTACAACCTTAAAACCATGTTAGAAGTAAATTCTTGCCTAACCACTAGGGCCCATAGGGCTGGAACTTATCCCAGGTTTCAAGTAGCTTGAAGCACATAAGAGTGGGATACTCCCCCTGGGTGGGATGCCAGTCCACTGCAGGTTGCTCCCAGCAATTTGCTGGTTCCCATTGATACAACTGGGTAGACTGAAACAATGTAGATTAAGTGCCTCAAGGTCACAAGCAAATTGCACAGCAAAGGATTGAAACCCAGACCTCGATGTTGGGAAACCAAACCGTTTCCTTTGCGCCAAACCGCTTCTATTATAAACCATCAATCGTTACCCTTTACCTACCATGCACTGTGTGCACACAAATCGTGAAGTACGGAACTGACCGTTTCTATTATTACTGTATTTTGCCGATTATTATGCTACTGTAAATATCCACTCATTATGAAAAGGACTTCTTTTTAATTAAAACTTTCATATACATGATGTAAATTATTTTGTAATTTATTTGTATACCTAAGTGTATTTATATTTATTTTGTGTCATGTGTAGCTATAAAATGTGTAGAAACAACTGTCTTAGTTTTTTAAAGTAGTAACAGACTAATATCCTATATTTTATTATGTGTTTTGTTTATCATCGCACACCAGCAATGCTGAAGTAATTAATTTAACTTTTATACTATTTATTTGGTTTTTTTTCACTCCTAACAAACATTCAATAATTAAATGAAATTTATATTGTTTAAGAAATATTGTACTTTCATGTGCATTTTAATAATAACAATTGTGTTCTTCCTTGCTCTCCATTTATTTATTTGATTCAGATTAAAAGTGGTTGAATATTGTATTAGAGAAATTGTAAAATATATCCTCATCTTAAAGTTTTATTTCAATTGTTTCATTTTTTCACTTTAGCTTTCTAATGTCATATATATTGTAATGTTTGTTTTTGTATGTACTGTTATACTTCTCCGTTTTAGAGGTTTTAGAATAAATGAAATTAAATAATAATATTTTATTTAATATTATATTTTGATATTTGTGTCTCCTCAGATGCCGCTTACTAGGCAAGGCAATTTCTAAAGAGTTTTTTTGTTGACGTGGCTAATAATTGACCGCTGCCATGACTTCCGTCTGGAAACGTCTGCAGCGAGTTGGGAAGCGTGCGGCAAAGTTCAAGTTCACTTGTTCCTTCCATGAATTACAACTCAAAGCCACAAAGAAATGGTAAGAACAGTTAAAAAAAATAAACTGTTAGCCTATATAGGTTATATAGTGTACAGATAATTTGGTTTGGAGGCATTTTATCAAGACAACTTTTATGGTCAGAGGCACAAACATTTTATTTGCAGGGCTGTCTACTGCAATTACATGACTGTTTTTTCCTAGACGTTTAACTGTCATGTTATTGGCCTGAACAAAAACAGTATAATAGAAATAATTTAATTTGTCTCTCTTTTTCTTTTTTAACTATATATTGTAAAATTTAGCTGTGCCCCTCGGAACCTGTGACTAACTAAAGTGTAACACTAACCAGCATGTAACTTATACAATGGATGAAACACTTTCTTTTTTAACTTGCCAATCATGAAAGATTATTTGAAGAACTGAGCAATCAAACTTAAATTAAATCTTGTCTTGTTAGCACGACGGTCTTGAAGCAGTGTCTACAGTGCAAGAGGCTGTACTGCACAATACCACTTAGCCAATGCTTTAGTTATATATTAGTAAAATGTGAAAGCCCAAAATTGCCAGTAGCATAATACACTGATACATGAAATTATTAATTTTTAGAAAAAAAATATGAGATAATAAACAAAGGATTAAATACTTCATATTGTTGGATATTATATTTTTTCTTTTTGGATCAACAAAAAATGAAATCTCAATATAATTTGATATGGAATGTGTCTTGATTTCATAGGGTCTAGTTTTTAACAGTATAAATTAGTGTGGATAGGCCCTATTAGTCATGTTGCCTAGAGGCTTACCAATCCATTGAACTGTACTCAAACTACTCTTTCCTATGTCAAATGTCAGTCCACTTTATCCATCCCCCCCCCCCCCAGGTCAAGCAGTCCTAGAAATTACTTCTTTAAAGCTTTAAAAGGTGATTTTAATTATTTGTAGATCATTAGGTCCATCACACATGAATGAGATGTAAGTGGGAGGAGTTTCACCTATAGCATAGGATTCATTTTTTTAAACTTCTATGCAGTAATCATAACCTACAAAAGGAATCTCTTTAGATGTAGCAATGACGATATTATTGCTCATGTAATATGTAGGATGCAAATTTTGATATAATGAGCAATTTAACAAGAGGTCAAGGTACGATTGGAAGTATACTCCGAAGGTTCAGCTGTCAAGTTTCCCGCGCATCCCTTATTAACTTGATTTATTATCTATACTGTATATTACCACTCACAAATTTCTCAATCTGTGTTATAGTTTCTATTTCTAACCTCTGATGTTTTGGTTCAGAATTATTTATTTGATTTATTTGACTCTGTGAATTGGAAATTTGAATAATAAGTTTGCAAATTGGTAAAACTGATTATTCTAACTTCCGATTCAGATTTATATGCTAATTGGTTGCTTGTTATTTGTGGCTTGATAATGTTGAGACTAACATTGTAGGTATTCTCCAGGGGCTAGAGCAGACATGCAAAGCTCACTTAAGCTGTCAATATCTGTCCGGCATTATTAAAATGGAAGCAGGTTCAGTGTTTATTGATCCAAATTGGCAATCTAGGAATGACTCTGATTGTTGCATAGATATCAAATGTCAACAGTGTGGTATTTGATATTTCAATTATGCTTTTTTTAGGAACATTGCTTTATATTTTTTCAGATTATAATGTAAATACAGACTTGATAAACACATGCATCATCTTTATGATATAATAATCTATATCAGAATGATTACATGGGAATGTGTAACCAGATATAGAAATAAAAAAATATATATTGACTATTCATACTGTACCACTGCTTCCAAATGCTCATATTGTTATTATTTTCATTGATTATTATATCATTATCACCTCACCAGTTTCATGATAATGATTATTATATTACCATCGACCATTATCATCTTCATCATTGTTATCACCATCACCAATTTCATCTTCTGGATCACCACCCCTATCATTCTTCGATCATTCTTATCATTGTCATTGTCATTATCAGTTGCCAGTTTTTTCATATCATCTTATCTACGATTACCACCATAACATTCAACTGCCACCACTATAATCATCATTACAACCCATCTTTATCATATTCATTGTCATCATCCACCGTCACCATCATCATCATCATCACATTTCACCTGATAATTGCTTTTGGTGTTGCAGATAAAAGGTACACAGCCAAAATCGGTTATTTACAATTCAAACACACTATCCATTGCATGTTTTTAATTGCTTATTTTAATCACTTTTTTCGAACTGGTCCCGTTTCTACTGCAAAGAAAAAGAGATTTTTAATCGATTTTTTCTTTCCAGTAGAAACAGGCCCTATAATAATTACCCTTCTCTATTGTTAGTTTTCATTATATACCAACATTAATGTTACTGCTATCAAGTAAATGTTACCATTGTAGCTTTGCATCTAAATTGTGAATTTATTTATTTACTCAGGTTTAAAATACATCATAATACTCAAGTCTGAAATTATTGCATTACACTCAATAACAAACATGATGATACATTTTTTACAGTAATAAAAAATGTTTTTAAAAATTTATTACTGCTTTTCAACTCAATAAAAATAACAAAACCACATAATTTTGTCTAAATTTCCAAATTCATTGAGTCCCAGACCTATTACTAATAGCTTTAATTTTTCCTAGCAATGGCATGCAATCTCTTGCTTAAGTACTATAATCTTTAATACATTAGTGTACAATTTGGAGGGTATTATATTTTTTTGTGACTAATGCAGAAAAGCCAATAGGACAAGGCAAAATATTAGCACTACAAGAGACAACAGCATTTTATAACGTGGCCCAATAATATCGTTGGTGATTATTCTCTGTTGCACATATTGTACACAAACATGACTGTAAACTACTTGTTCAATACATTATACTCTTGAATAATATTAATGATAATAATAATAATATTAAAGGTTTTAAGTCTCTCAGATAAGTGCCTCTTTAAAAAAAGCATCACATCAAACGTTAAACAACCCATTTCTCACCAAATTAAAAATATAATACAAACACTGTATAGACAACAGCATATTTTAGCATTCTAAGTTTTAATAAGTAACACATTTGAATAAAGCACCTCAAATATAAACTACACTAAAGTGTCAATGCTCAATAATTTACAGTACTTGTACTTTCGTAAACCCCTTCATTTTACAACCTAAATTTTGTTATTTTGTCGCATAAAAATTAGAAACACATTTTTGTAATCAAAGAGGCAAAGAAAAGTAATTATGAAATGCATTGGAATAGTTTAACACATGATGACACAATGTAAATGACAACTATTATAGAGGGTGCACTTTCTGAATTATTACAGTTATGGTGATATGTTGGTTGAGATGTAGACAATTAGACTGGTCATATTTGAGGTGTACTGTAGGATTAACAAGACTAATTTTTATCTAGTATAGCCATTGTGGTAGATTCCGAATCTGCTTGATGTGCATGAAGGACTCTTCCAAGGTATGATAGTTCAAAGGTCAAATCTAACATTGTTGGGAGAGTCGAGTCGATGTGCTATGTGTAACAGAACACTTACTAATGTATTTTAGGTTGTAGATTTGAAGTCAACAGCCAAAAGTACCCTAGAAAAATTTGATCAACTAAAAATTACACCTACCTCAAAATCTGACTTGTTGTACATAACCGGCCATTTTGATTCCTTACAAAGCTTTTTAAGTAAAAATGAGGAACAGTCCATCTACGGTAAGTAACTAACTAAAAACATTAATTTTATTTAGGTTAGCATAACCCCCTAAGAAAATGACCATTTTAAAATCATTTTTTTGTGAGATATTTCATAGAATTCATAAATTTTGTAATTTTTTTTTATTATAAAAATATTTTTGAATGGACTGTCCACTTTGTATAAAACTCGGTCAGCTTCTAGCTGTCTGGGTTTTGTCTGCGAACCAGTTTCTCTTTCATATTGAAGGTATTCTTACTTAAATATACTGCAGGAAATGATAATGGCCATTCCAATTATGAATATTGCTGAACTGAAGTATTTTTCTGCGAGTCCTGATAATAAGCCATACTGTAAAACTCTCCCCATGAACACTACCAGGAATTTTGATTCCAGAACTCTGACCGAGGCTCTAGTCGGCCCCATAGTTCGGACTTCCAGTCGGCAAATTTGTTCAGCCACTCGTCCAATGAGTATAAGTGCTGTTTTTCATAACTAAAACTAATACAAGTTCACTGTTTATCAAATTTTCTTTTACAAAAAGCCTCTGTATGCCCATATATGTCCATGATGTGCCTATATATGGTAATAATGTGATGCCATCATGACCATATTTAGGCATAGCATGTTTTTTGTGTATAAAATTTGGTAGTCTTGACAATCCTTTAGAGGTAATTTTCTTCAAAGTACAGTATGTTCAGACGTCTGCATTAAAAAACGATCATGTTTTAATTTGTTTTCGTGAACCTTGAACTTAATGGATGTTTCTGCATTGTCAGTCAAACTTAACAACTGACCAATCAAAATCAAGCCAGGATCACGCGTATGTGTCACAAACATACATTTTGTCCCACAAACGCATGTGTTTGTGTATGTTTTTACACTGTCCTTTTGTGGTAGCCTAGCAACAATATCCAAGGGTAGGGTGCTTAGTGGAAGAGTCATTCAAAGACCAAAATAAAGATATTGATATGATCTATATCCATTTATAACTCATTTTTCAAAAGACTCATTTGTGATGACACCTGAAATTATTTCACTTAGCAACATTTTTTACTTTTGTTTTGCTTATACAAACCATGTTCATCAACTTTCTTTTTTTTAAAATTAAAATTGAAAAAAAGATGAGAAACAATTTTTTAGCTTCATAAAAATGACATCTACATAAACGCAGTCCTATCTAGTCATCACATAATTATGATTGTAGAAATTCATTGGGATTTTGGTTAACTCATATTATCAATTCATAGTTATCAATTTTTTTTGTGAAGAAACTTTTGGTACTATATAATATAATATGTAGGATATCAGAATCCGTTGGAC